CTCAGTGCATTTATTTTCATATTCTCCGCAGGCTGACATACGATTAATTTCTACGTAATTGTGTAAATCTGTCTTTTTGTTTCTCACTGCTGGATTATTGTATCTAAGTATCTATTTTGATGTTATTTGTCTTGTTAGCCAGCAGCAATTAGGCTTGGGCAAACATGAAGACATCTAATTACAATATTTTTGACCAAAGATATCTTCTCAGCATATTGCTGATGATATCTGTAGGGGGGTTTAAAAGTATTAACAGCAGAACGGCGCCGGGGCAGACGAAGGAGTGGTCGTAAGGAAACGCATTTTCAAGGCTCTCTGGAGAGAGCATAGCACAGTCTCCAGATCTCAACCCACATAGAAAAATCGTTTGGAAAGGGAGGTTGAAAGGTCCAGTTGCCCAGCGACAGCTCCCAAAACATCACTGGCTCTAGGGAGATCTGCATGGAGGAATGGGCCAAAATACCAGCCCACAGTGTGTTGAAAAACCTTGTGAAGACTTACAGGAAAGACGTTTCGACCTCTGTCATTGCCCAACGAAAGGGTATATATACAAGAAGTATTGACATGAACTTTGTTGTTATTGACCAATATACCTTATTTTCCACCATAAATTTGCAAAAAGATAAACTAATGTTAAAAATCAGGACAATGTGATTTTCTGATTTTTTTTCTCATTTTGTCCCTCATAGTTGAGTATACCTAGGGATGACAATTAACAGGCCTCTCATCTTTTTAAGTGGGAGAATCTTGACAATTGGTGGCTGACTAAATATTTGTTTGCCCACTGTATGTATAAAAAAGCGCCAACATCGAACTGAAAAAACTGTTCATGCGGTCACTTTGTCACATTGACATGTCTCTTTCCTAAATAGACATCTAAACGTTTATGTTAATTATCCCAATAATGTCACTGTTTCAGTGTCCAAACGCATTGCAGCGCATTCACATTCTCCCCTCCGTCTGTTTCCGAAGGGCTGGCTCCGCTCCCCAACACACACACAAACACACACACACGAATGCACACACATACAGTCAGAGACAGAGCGGAGGATAACAACAAAGCCTGAAAAAACTAAAACAAAATCTGCATTATAGCCCAAAAGTAACTCCCCCCCCCTCCTGCACAGATCACCCCTCATCCCGCTGGCAGCCCATCCGCCAGCGCAGCAGGTAAACCTAAGGGGAAACACTGTACTGTCCATTGCTACAAAACATATACATGTGGGGGCAAAAAAGTATTTAGTCCAGCCACTCCATTGTGCAAGTTCCTCCCCACTTAAAAGAATGAAGAGGCCTGGTAATATTCATCCTAGGTATAACTCAACAATGGAAAAAAAAATTTTTTTAAAAGAATTGTATATTGCAAATTAATGGTGGAAAATAAGTGTTTGGTCAATGAACAAAAGGTCATCTCATATTTGATATATACCCTTTGTTTGCAAATGACAGAGGTCAAACGTTTTCTGTAAGTCTTCACAAGGTTTTCACACTGTTGCTGGTTATTTTGGCCATTCCTCCCATGCATGATCGTCCTCTAAGCAGATTGGAGTTTTGGGGCTGTCGCCTGGGCAACAACGGACTTTCAACTCCCTCCAAAGATTTTCTATGGGTTGAGAATCTGGAGACCTGGCTTGGCCACTCCCAGGACCCTTGAAATGCTTTCTTACGAAGCCACTCCTCGTTGCCCGGGCGGTGTTTTGGATTCATTGTAATGCTGAAGGACCAGCGACGTTTCATCTTCAATGCCACTTGCTGATGGATAGGAGGTTGTCACTCAAAATCTCACGATACATGGCCATTGCATTCTTTCCTTTACACGATCAGGTTGTCCTGGTCCCTTTGCAGAAAAACAGTCCCCAAAAGCATGATGTTTCCACCCCATGTTTCAACAGTAGGTATGGTGAGTCTTTGATGTCAACTCAGCATTCTTTTCTCCTCCAATACACGTCTAGTGAGTTTTTACAAAAAGTATATATTTTGGTTTCATCTGACCAAATGACATTCTCACCAATCCTCTCCTGGATCATCTTGAAAAGCTCTCTAGCAAACTTCAAGACGGGCCTGGACATGTACTTGGGCGTAAGCAGGGGGACACTCTGGCACTGCCAGGATTTGAGCCCTGGCGGCGTAGGTGTTACTGAATGGTAGCTTTGTTACTGGTCCCAGCTTCTTGCAGGTCATTGACTAGGTTTCCCGTGCTGGTTCTGGGATTTTTGCTCACGTTCTTGTGATCTTTGACCCACGGGGTGAGTCTTGCGTGGAGCCCCAGATCGAGCGGAGATTATCAGTGGTCTTGTATGTCCTTCGCATTTTCTAATAATTGCGCCACAGTTGATTCTTCACACAAGCTGCTTACCTATTGCAGATTCAGTCTTCCCAGCCTGGTGCAGGTCTACAATTTAGTTTCTGGTTGTCCTTTGACAGCTCTTTGGACTTTGTCGTTGGCATAAGTTGGAGTTTTGGAGGTGACTGTTTTGAGGTTGTGGCGGGTGTCTTTATACTGATAACGAGTTCAAACAGGTGCCCATTAATACAGTTAACAGTGGAAGACCAGAGGAGGCTCTTAAAGAAAGAAAGTTACAGGTCGTGAGGCAGAAATCTTGTTTTTGGTTGTACGGTGACCAAATACTTAATTTTCCACCATAATTTGCCAATAAATTCCTTAAAAATCAGACAATGTGATTTTCTGTGACTTTTTTTTCTTCATTTTGTCTCTCATAGTTGAGGTATACCTAGGATGAAAATTACAGGCCTCTCTCATCTTTTAAAGTGGGAGAACTTGCACAATTGGTGGCTGACTAAATACTTTTTTGCCCCACTGTATGTGTGGGCCAAATTCAAGTCAGATTATGCTCTAAAACAAGCACTGAAGCAAGCGTATGGACTCATATGAGAAAAACACTCAAAACAGGACACAAAGCGTCTGTTGCCTTACTTACTTTTTTATAACTCGCGCAATTGACCGCTGCTTCATTTATCTTTACTTGCGTAACTCAAACTAGGCGCACCGGCGAGGGAACTCGGCTTATCTCGATGTAGATACCAACAACACTTCATCCGCAATGGGCGAAATAACTACTTTTGGTACTTTACATGTGGTGGAAGTCCTAGATACGTTGTGTTTGGTTTCATGATATCATACGAAGACACACAGCACAGTGAAAGCTGTATTTAGCAAGTCACAAGTCTGTTGAATCAGTCTTGTGGTGTAAACCCAAAATGTATCGATCATGCTAGTTTCTCTGTCTGCACTCAACATAACGTGATTTGACAATATACTATATAGGCAATTTACCATATAAAGTGTATGGTTTGTACACATACATTTATAAACATCGATTTTTGTCTGGTCTTTGTTTAAATATGAGGTATTGTAGACCTCTGGGTGCTGATGATAAATATAAATGTTTAATATATTCATATCTGTAAACAATCCTTAATTTGTATTTATACGGTTCCTCATACTTTGAACTGTTCTTTCTTAATATCCTTGTGCAAACTCTTACCTTTCCTATCCTCAGTCTCAGTCTTACTGCTGTTGCTGCTCTGAATTTCCGTACGGGGATTAATAAAGGTGTATCTTATCTTAAATGAGCTCTATCACAAACAGTTCAAAACCGCATCATCACTACGGGTGAATGGAGATTATCATAATTACCTTTCCACCGGTGAAAATCATCTTATCAAACACATAGTGAAGATCCTCAGGTAGAAAAGGCCCTTCTTTATCTGAAACACTTATTTCCTCCTCCTCCTCTTCCTCTTCCTCTCCCTCATTGTCACTGTCCAGCAGGCCGTTGGGGCAGAGGGAGGGTTTGCACCCCTCATTTAAAACCATGTCTGTGAGCCTGGTGTCTAAAGTCTTCTCATCCTTCTTTCTGGACGGATAGGATCCATCTGCATCGTCACTGTCAGGCTCCTCGTCTTCTTTAAACCCTCTTTCAACTTTCTCATCTTCTTGATTCTTGTCAACCTCCTCTAACTTTGCTCCATGCCTGCCTCCCTTCTTGCCTCTCTGGCGCCCCCCGCAGCCCCTTCTTTGAGGGCAAGCGAAGTACTTGTAAGCCGTACGGAAGCGCTCCTGGAGGTACTCAAACACCATTTGGCTGTTCAAGCTTCGTGCGACGTTCCTCTTCAAGGCAAAAGGATCTAAAAATATATTTAAAAAGTGTGAATTTCTGATATTTCTCAAGACTTGTTAGATGACTTTTCCAACAGTGTTCTCTTACCTTCAATACCGAGTCTGCGGCGAGGCCAGTTCTTCCCCTCCCTAGAGAGGAGCTCCTTCAAGCGGATGCTGATGATGTGTTCTTCAAGAGCAAACTCCAGTGTGTAAAAACGAAGGAGGTCCAACCACAGCTGACCCAGCGTCACATCTTTACCCATGTCCAAGGTGAGGCGCGTCTTTGAAAAAGGGACGGTAATGGAGAGTTAGTTAAAAGCAGGGTGCCAACAAACACATTGCAAACACATGCCATGAAATCTGAATCAAATGTCAATAGTGAGACTCACCAAGCCTTCTGAGAAATGAGAGTCATCGATTTTTTTCTGCTCTGGTTTGGGTCTGCCTTCTCCTCGGTTGTCATTTCGGTTGTCCGTGGAGCTCGGAGGTCTGCGCTCCCACCGGACAAACGAGTCCAGCGAAATTCCAGTTAGGTGATACTCGTCCACACGTTTCACATCGAAGCCTTCAATCTATGAGGGAAATTGATTTTAAAATAATATGGGAAAAAACTAGCGCTACACAAAGAGGTGACACTGTTACTGTCCTGCTCTGAAAAAGTGTGTCAGACACCGTTGTGTATGTTCCAAAAGTCTAACTTATTTTATCTCAGGGCGCAGCTTTTGGTCTGGCATTTGAGCATGCCTCCTGCACATTTACATTGACAACATTCAATTGACGGCCCCTACAGTGTCAAAGAAGCTAAAGCCGATTTGAAGCAGACCATTAATGTGAGCCAAAAAAAATAGAAGAGGCAAGTAAGAATTACAAATTCAACTAAATTTAAAACATCCCTTTCAGTAAGTATGGAGAATGTTAAGGACCTGAAATAGCCAACAGTTTACCTACCCAGCGGCCAAGGTAGACAGGGAGGATGGGCTGTTTCCTCTGCTGCAGGAAGAAGATGACCATAAGGGCGAAGGAGTACGAGGGGAGGCCTCCTTCAGACTGACAGTCAACGTGACACAGCTGCAGAGATGAACAGGCAGGGGGGGAAATACTTTTGATCAGTTTGCATTCTAGGATTAATCAAACAGTCCTATTCTTAGCAGTTAGACATACACTGAACAAAAATATAAACGCAACACTTTTGTTTTTGCTCCCATTTTTCATGAGATGAACTCAAAGATCTAAAGCATTTTCTATATTCACAAAATAACCATTTCTCTCAAATATTGTTCACAAATCTGAAAAGATCTGTGATAGTGAGCACTTCTCCTTTGCCGAGATAATCCATCCCACCTCACAGGTGTGGCATATCAAGATGCTGATTAGACAGCATGATTATTGCACAGGTGTGCCTTAGGCTGGCCACAATAAAAGGCCACTCTGAAACGTGCATTTTTGCTTTATTGGGGGGGTCCGAAAACCAGTCAGTATCTGGTGTTAGGGTAATGTTGTGAATCGAGTGGACCCCCCCAATAAAGCAAAACTGCATGTTAAAGAGTGGCCTTTTATTGTGGCCAGCCTAAGGCACACCTGTGCAATAATCATGCTGTCTAATCAGCATCTTGATATGCCACACCTGTGAGGTGGGATGGATTATCTCGGCAAAGGAGAAGTGCTCACTATCACAGATTTTTTCAGATTTGTGAACAATATTTGAGAGAAATTGTTATTTTGTGTATATAGAAAATGTTTTAGATCTTTGAGTTCATCTCATGAAAAATGGGAGCAAAAACAAAACTGTTGCGTTTATATTTTTGTTCAGTGTACATGTAGTATAGCTGGGTGTATTATTATTTATAGTTGTTTTGCAGAAATAGAGATGTTCCTTTAAGAACATATTGCAATGAATGTCTGTTGGTCATTAGTAAAACAAGTAGGGTTTGTAGAGAGGTGCAGTGATGACTTATTTTTGTAGGCCGACAGGGAAATTGGCATCCCAAAGGGTCCCTCGACTAACAAAAAAAACCGCTCTGTGGCAACACACATTAGTGATACGTTTGTTCAGCGGGATCAGTGAAGTTTTGGACATGCACGAGTGGGATCAATAGTGAATAGTAAAACAAAACATCAACATCTCTAAAGCTTTGGTTAACCACAGATCTTATTTCAGGGATCTAAAGTAAAACACGTTCAAGAAACCATTGACCATCAGACTAGGGAAACGAAAAGGATAAAATGGTTACTCAGTTCCTGGTTTAAGCACTCATTCCTGCCCAACTCTATAAGTGGTTGTTATACTCCGACCTGCAGATATCTGACTATTATGTTTATTATGAAACACGGCTGAGCTGCTTTTTAAATCTGTTGCATTTCAGCTGTGGAGTAAGTGTCAGTCGCAGCCTTACCCTCGCCCAGTAGCGGAAGGCCATCACCAGAGGGATCAACCTGGGTTCCAGTCTAGACAGGACAGCCATGTGATTGGTGGTGAGCCAGGCCACGTCGTTACCGGCACTCACTTTACACATCAGGCCGCTGCACAGGAACACAAGTTAGGGAAGACCCAAATGAAAAGTTGGATCAAAATCTTAAAGCAAATCCATAAAACATGAAAATATGCATCAATGATGTTTTCTAATTTTGATCTGGCTGTAAAAGAGTCAGTTTGGTAAGTTACTGAGAACTACATGCTATCACTAAAGTAACTACCATATTTTATACACATGAATTACAAATAATTGAAACAATTAGAGTGAACTGACTAAGGGTTAGGGGCTTTAAAGGCACTCACCTGCTAACATCTCGACAGAACACAGCAGGAACTTTGGCATGAAAATCTGATTCGACCTCAGAAAACTCCGCTAGAGAAAAAGAAAAAAAACAGTTAATGAGCTTGAGTTTAAAAACACACAATAATTGTGAGAAGGGCTGACCATACGATACAATACGATCGTTAATACATAAGAAAAAAGGAAGAGAAACATGCTCAGGACCCTTTAAACGTACATCTGACCTGGCTATACACTCTGTATGTAATATAAAGATTGGCTAGTCCTTTAAAGTGGATGTATTGACCATATGGTAAAGACAACTACTAAAAGAACTGGTACATTACAGAATATTTCTGAACTTAACTGTAATGTTAAAGCTAACTAAAATCTAGTGTCATATCAGGAGATTTAATATCTGTTATATTGTTCATAAAAACACTTGGGCGCAATGATAGATTCTATGACAGGAGATGGTCTATCTGTGAAAGGACAAAACAAATCATTTATTTTCTCTGTCACCTTTTCTGGGAGAGTAGACAAATTCTTCTTCTGTTTTTGACATCTGTGATTTTAAGTGTTCCACAGTGACTAACTATCTGAGTTTAAATTGTGTTAATACTTTTAAACCCCTACAATATCATCACAATATTGAGAAGATACTCTTTGGTCAAAATATTGTGGAATTAGATTGTCTTCATGTTGCCCAGGCCTAATTGGGCTGCTGCTAACAGACAAATAACATCAAGATAGATACAATAATCCAGAGAAACAAAAAGACAGATTTACACAATTACGTAGAAATTAATCGTATGTAAGCCTGCGGAGAATATAAAATGCACTGAGCAAAACTTACAGCTTTTCTTGAGGATTTCCAGCACTTGAATCAAGACCTCAGGTTGTGTCATCTGAACAGATTAAAAGTGAAATTAAAAAGTGAGTCATCAAATATAAGACTAAATGTCACGGCTGATTTAGAATGTCCTCTTTTATAGAGAAATAATATCACCATTCTGTGTAATAGCAGACTTACTAAGGAGGGGTGGGTGACATCGATGTTGATATCACTCGTCTTGAAGGCAAATCGGGTAAGACATGAACCATAAAGACGGAGAGCACAAGCTGGAAAATCAAAGAAAATATATTTTAGTGTTTGGGTTTTAAATTGCTAATTTAATTCTTTTTTTTCACAATTGTCTTTGTTTTAAATCCGTGAATGGTTGTCACGTTATCATACTTTCATGTCTGTTAAGTGTATCTGTTGCCTGTTGTAATAAAAAATGAAATAAAAAGTAAAGAGAATATATTGGAAAATATTTTCCAAAAATCAGTAATGACTAGCGTGGTCTGATCTCCGCAGCACTTCAAGCTGGGTAAGCTATATTTCTTTAGCTAGACTAGAAACAAGCCTTCTTCACCTGCTCTTGGTTTGATTTCTGGTTTCAAAATCTAACTTGGAATGTCAGAAACTGTTCCTATTGGCTGTTTCACAAATTCAGTTGCGTCTTCACATCCCGTCTGTGAAAGCCAGAGACAGTCATTGATAACAACTGCATCATTTCAAAGAAACCCAAAAAATGAAGGATTGGGAAAAAGTTAGAGTCTGACAATACCAGCAAAGCAATTCAGAGATGTAACATTGCTAAAAATGTGTTAAATTAATAATGTTATACGCACAGCTAAATGACTGTTGCTAAGACTTAGTACGTAGCAGAAGTCTAAACGATGAGCAACAATTCCTCTCCAGCTCTGGAACACTTTGGAGGTATTGCAGGGAGCCTTAAATTGCAGTATGTCATCCCCAAAAAAACATTTTAAGTCACCTCGATGTGCATGATATCAGGCATTTGGATAACAATTACCCTTATCTATGCAATAATGATTCAAACGGGTTACTTTATGAAGTGCATGCTTGTCTGGTGGTAGGGGCTGAGGACAGAGAGGGGAACTCAACATCCCCTGGGGGACAACTTAACATACATTACGCTAAAAAGTTATAGGAATGTTTTCCCTACAAAGCCACACATAAAGTGTCCCCTCCAGCTTTAAACTTTCCTAAGCGTTTCCTCCCTTTATATCCCTAGCTGCAGGCAACATAGACAAGACTGAGTGACATCACAGCAAACAACCTGAGAGGTGCTTCTTTATGATCTCTTCCATCTTGATGACCAAGGCCTTCCGAACCTCGAAGTCCTCCTCTGAGATGCCATACTGTGTAGCTGTTTCCAGGACTGCTGCGTCCAAGGCCCTCATCTGGGCAGCAGAGGGGGGGGGGAGGGAACGCAGCTCATTCTCCTCCTGTTTCTCCTGACACGCCAGAAAGAGAAAATGTTAAATACGTCGTGTCTATTTGAAATAAAGCATGTGAATGACGGGATGAGGGACAACACACACTTGGAGGCTCTCATACCATGATGTTCTTCTTGTGTCTCTTCTCCTTGATGTGTTTGTGTGCTCCTTGAATGTTCTCGATGTGCACCGAACAGAGCTTGCATAAGTATTGATAGTTTGGGTACTCGATGGACTGCTGTGAAAACAACAAGAGGCAAAAAGTAATTAGTTTCTGCATGTTCTCTTAACATTTTTGGATTTGTCACTTTGACATCATTGATCCAACCTGCTCCTGCAAGGTGGAGATAAAACAAACACATCCATAGTTCAGGAAAAACAAAGGCTGGTGATGATGAAATTAGATCGGAAAACATGGAAGGAAAACATGGAAGGGCTACTTCTCCATTATTTACCTTTTTCACAAAAAGAGCAAGACTTCTTTAGACTCCATCTTTACATTTTTTGTAGTTCCCCCAATTAAGTTCTCCATCTTTTATTTTGTCTCAAGATATAACAGCTGTAACAGAACTTTGGATTCAAAAATAAAAGGCATTTAACATCTCAGATGTTGTTTTTTTAAGTAACAAAGCATAATTATGAAGCACTAATGCAGTACATGACATGAGCTGTGTCATGTGATATGTTTCCTGTTTATCAGGCGTGACTACATTGTTTCCTCACTTTCAGCAGGCGATGGATGTAGTCTCTGTAGAGGCGCTCCTCTGCCTGTCGGAGGCCCAGCTGTTGCTCTGTCAGGGGCCCTTCTTCAACAGTCGGCCTCACCTCTTCAACAGGCTGATGCATCAACGCAGCAGCTTTCCCCCCTACAAACAACAGAGACAACGTTTAATTCACTAGTATTTAATAAAGAAGGATTCATCCTCTAAGAACATTAACTGTGAGAACCTACCATAGGACTTTTCCTTTGCTGGAGTTGCACTTGAGCTTCTGGCCTGCTCTGTGAAGTCTTTTTTACGTGTAGCATGCCCTACAGGAAAGCTGGTTTCTCTGTTTGCCAAGGGGCTGTTGTCTGCAGATAAAGACACATTGGAGTCCGGAGCGTGTGCCACCAGCTTCTGTTGGGAGCCTGGAGCTTTGCCTTTCCCCCTCTCCCCTGAACTTGTTCTTCCAGTCAGTCTTGTTGTCCTGGGGGGCCGTCCTCTCCTCTTGTCCTGGGGAATGTCTGTGAAGGTCTTGCCTGGCCCGCGGCTTCCCTGACTGCCTATATTATGTTCATCCTTTGTAGCAGTGAGGTTTTCTTTGCTGCGGGTTGTAGACTTGGGAGCCTCTCTCTGCGCAGGAGCCTCTTTATTAGACTTCTCAGCGGACGAAGCTTTGGGTCCCCTCGGTTGAGACAGTTTTGTTTTTACTGGACTTTTGGACTCGTCCATCCCTCCTGTCCTGCTGGTGGACTTAACACCACGCTGAGGACGACGACAGAGGCAGGTCAGCAAAAGCCTTGATAAGGAAAAGAGAGGAAATTATAGCTATAAGTCTAATTAGCATGAATATATTTGGACAGCATGGTTTGTTTACCAATTCAGGTGATGCTAACTAACCAAATACACGAGTTGATTTACATTTCACGTGTCTTACTGTGGTTTGTATACATTTGCCTATTATGCCAACAGAAATGAATATAAAAAGAAGAAGAAATGCTCAAATGAAAATTAGGAAAGTATAGGTCTTACAATAAAAATAATATGGCCAACCAAAATATGAAAAGTTGTGATTATGTGTTTTGTACAAATGTTTCACACAGTATTTCTGCATCTACTAAATTGTTATTATTCAAATTGGGGAACAAGTGTTTGATTAAATTGTTAGATAATACTGGTATGTTCAATAATAAACCATTTAATTAAAAATCACATAATACTGAATTACATGGTGTGGTTACAATATAACAAACATGGAAAAATGTAAGTGTTGGTGTCGTCTTTTAATCAGAAGTAATTTTGAGGTTGACAAACATGGAAAAGTTACACCTCACTAACATGACCAACTGTATTTGTGAAAAGCAGTGGGATCTTGTTTAAATAAAAATGTTTACAATGTATCTTTATCTCGCCTATGTGGTTTCTTAAAGTCATGAAAGCAACGAGTATTTATAATTAAGTTGCACTTTTTATTTATTTTCTCTATTAAACATACTTTAAAAAAATGTTTAGCATAACATTTCTCGCGTTTAACTGACTTTATATCATTAAAGAAGAGCGGCTTTTATCAAGGTAAAACGGAGAGCCCTGAACACAACACATCTCTTTGGCGGACAGGTAATGTTACAGATGTTGTGTTCAAGACAGTTTCCCCTAACTTATTGTATTCCGTACCAAAACCTTACATGGTCGGTGTTTTAGAGATAAATCCAGGGAAATATTGGGTTATGGTTAGGTGTCTCAAACGTGACTGTTTGGAAAAATGACTAATGTTTATTTCAGGCGAAACGAAACTGATGGGGAGACTGACTTGGATAAACGACGTGACCTAACATTAGCTGCACTGCCAAAACAGAAACGAAAGAGGCGTTCACCACGAAAGCAGCCATTACCGACTAAAAGTAATGCTCACCATTAAAACCGAAAGGCATTTCCTCTGTTATAGGAACGATTCACGGTGACTTCCAGGCCAGCGGACCCTTTAGCTGTCTTCGTTAAGCTACCGTTAGCTGCCCCCGGTCGTCCGGCTGAGCTAGCTAACGTTAACGGCAGATAAATAACACTGGCACCCAGCTGCCACACAGGAGCGAGTAACTAAACACAGAAAACACCCCCTCGACAAGAACAACACACAGGAGCACGTATTGACTTACTTTCAGGCTCTTAAGTTGATTTTGGATTATTGTTTAGCTACCTCCATGGTTCTGTTAGACATAATGTTTTTCAAATCCCACGGCCCTGCTCAAAATAGCAACCATTGACGCCATGTTAATACATCACCCCGCTGCATTGTGGGAATGCTGAATGATGATGAAGAGGGGCGTGATGGATTAAAATACCGCTCAGAAACTCTTAACAGTAAATACAGCATTTATTTTCTTGACTTTTTATTTTCTTCCAAATATAAAAATAGGGACAGAATCATAATCAAATCATATTTTTTTTCCAAATTATTTGTGGTCCGACAGCAGCACATTTTGAATGTAGCCTGAATAGAGAATGACACCAATCGAAGGATAACCCAATCATGTCATTTTTATAAAACAAGATAGCCTAACTGATTTAAGGTGAAGATTATCAGCCTGTTTTCTTTGTTATAGAATTGTGGATTCGACATTGGACTGCCATTTCGATTATAGAAGTGCTTACCAGTCTTTAGAACACAAACTATGTCTTTCTCATTATGTCTTTTCTTTTTACAAACTACAACTATTGCATAATAACTTTCTGGAATTAAAATTGAATGTTTGGAAATGTTGCAGACTCGTTTGTGTTGAAACAAGTATTACATTGTTTTGTTCACCACTTCATTCTATGCATCAGTCCTAGGCCCATTCCCAAACCGCCCCCTACACCCTACCCCTACACCCTAACCCTCCGTTTGCGCATTCACGCGGAGGGTCCGCCATATTGAGGGCTGTTCCAAAGCAACGAGTGTGGAGCGGTGTGGAGGGGGAGTGGGCTATCAAGCCCTCAAATAGCGAGTCTGCAGCGGTGCTGACTTGAGACCGGTCTCTACCTGACCGGAGTCACGCTGTGTGTGTCCGTCAGGAAACAAGCTGTTAACAAGTAGTTCCAGCAAACATCCACTGATAAACTGCGATGTTAACAACCTCATGATAACCTCATATGTTTTAACTTAGGATCATACCTGTGTTTAGTCTAGAAAAAGGTAAATGTGTGCATTTTATTATAAAGTTGTGTATATTTACAGACTGTTGCAAAAACTAAGAAGCTTATAAACATCAGGTTTAAAAATAAAAGAGCTTTGAAACACAATGAAAGATGTTTGGAGTTTTATTTGAGTTATTAATTTAAACTTTTTGTCTAAGAGATGATGATTTGAAACCGTTGTTACATACAGTTACGGCATGTCCTGTTTCTGCCGGAGAGAGGGGAGTTTGTCCCAAAGCTTGCTGCTGTATTTACTCCCTCCATCTGACAGGAGGGAGCCTGGAGTGTGGCTCCAGACGGAGTTCACTCCGTCACGGAGGGGATAGGGTCGAGGGAGTGGTTTGGGATTGGGCCTTAATAGGAAAATACTCTGAGCATGCGCAGTGTAGTTTTTACAGTCACCGTTCACTTTGACA